CCTCTTCTCTCTCTACCCCCTCTACTGTCATTCATTTCTCCCCCTTGTATTATTTTTCCCTTTCCCCTCACTTCCTCTTGTATGTACTTTTGTATAACCCTGAGGGTCTCCTTCCATTTCCATGCAATTTCCCTTCTCTCTCCCTTTCCCTCCCACCTCTCATCCCTATTTAATGTTAATCTTCTTCTCCTGCTCTTCGTTCCTACTCTGTTCTTAGTTACTCTCCTTATATCAAAGAAGACATTTGGCATTTGTTTTTTAGGGATTGGCTAGCTTCACTTAGCATAACCTGCTCTAATAGGGCCTTGCTAAATTGAGGCTGGCCTCAAACTTACAACCCTCCTTTCTCAGACTTCCTAGCTGCTGGGATTACAGGTTTGTGCCACCGCGCCTGATTTATACCTAGTTTTTGGTACTGGGAACTGAACCGGGGTGTTTAACCAATGAGCTACAACTCCAGCCCTTTTATTTTTTTATTTATTTTTAGACAGGGTCTCAGTTGTTTAGGGCCTTGCTAAATTGCTGAGGGGGATTTCAAATTTGCCATCCTCCTGACTCAGCATCCGGAATCTCTGGGATTACAGGCATGTACCACCTCGCCCAGCACCCAGCTAGTTTTTTGTTTTAATAATATATAAGTAAATCTTTGCATTTTTCTAGGGAAAGTCTCCATAGTTTTCACCAGATATTCAGAACATTCCTAGATCCCCTAAAAGGTTACCAACTACAATTCTAGTTTTAGACATGCTTGTAAAAAGATGCAATTCTAGATTTCACATCCAGCTGGAAAGCCTGAAAGCCTCTACCCGAAACAAAAATGGCGGGAGCCGCTTCATACGTACCCCTTCACGTAGAAAGGCTAGAAGGCCCCCTCCACTTTTCCTTCACTTTCCCACTCGTGACCCCGGAAGGAATCCGCCTTCGGCAGTCAGGCCGCTACATCTCACAGCCAGGCTGCAGCCGCGAAGCGGGCGTGGGCAGGCTGCACCTGGCCTGAGGCGCCAGGTACAAGGGTGGAGGGCGACGCCTCAGAGAAGGATCGCGGCACCGTAGGCGTCGCGGGGCGGTGCGAGGCAGGGCGGGGCGGGGCGGGGTCCGTACTGCAGCACCCGCTTTTGCAGTCTGGACTAGGTGTGGGGTGCAGAAACCCAGAGCAGGAGGCCCCTTCGCCTGATCAAGATCCGCAAGGAGAGCGCCGAGTCAGAGTGGCCCGCAGCAGGTGTGGGCAGTGTGGTCAGCCCACCCGGGAGGGAGCCCCTTTCAGATCCTCTTGTTAAAGAAAAAGAGCAGCAGAGAGCGCCGTGGGGGCTCCGGACCGAACGCTGGAGGTGGGGTAGCTGGCTCCGAGGTTCCGCTTGGATGCTTGTGAGCAGGCAGTGGGTTTAGGATGTGGAAGATTGTTGCTTTGAAGGTGGTTTCAGAGAATCATTTAACACTGAGGGTTGTGTCATCGGGTGCCTTCTTGTAATTGAAATTCTGGTGTTTTTGGAAGGAGGACTTCAAGAGATCTTGTTCTTGCTCAGACTTACAGACCATTATTACTGTCATTGCCATTTTATTATCGTTGTAACTAAGCATTTTTCGCTGCCTTTAAAGTATCTTCTAAGAGTTCAGTTGTATAGATTTATGTTTCACGTCGGATTTTCATGATATTTAAGACTTCCTTGCTTTGTAAAGTCAAAGTAGAATTTTAGGATGTGTAAAATCAGACTGTACATTGATTTTTGGTAATATTTTAGACTCCTCTTACAAATTTGAATAATCATGAAACTGCTTTCATGTTTATTTTAACTATACTTCTGAAAGCAACTAAAATGTTTATAGTTTTTTTTTTAAGTTAGTTAATAATCATTAAACTTAAGAGTCCACTTCTGCAGAGATTTTCAACGAAGGGAAATAAAGTATCTAGAATGCAAAAATAAAGATTTGTCAGAATTCTTCAAGAGACTTATTCTGCAGCAGGTTGAAGTGTTTTTTTTTTTTTTAATTTTATTTCTTATCTGCTTAAAATTTTGAAATGCTTTATTGTGGAAAATTTTGAACTACTCTTTTTTTTTTTTTTTGCAGTTCAGTAATATAGATCCAGAATCTATTTAAATAGTAAAAATGCTCAACAACAACAAATCTCCCAATAATTCTGGAGGCTGAAACAGAGAATAGCAAATTGGAGGCCAGTTCAGCTTGAGATCCTGTCTCAAAATTAAAAAAAAAAAAAAAGAGAGAGAGATGGGGGTGTAAAGTACCCCTGAGTCCAATCCCCAGTACCAAAAAAAAAAAAAAAAAAAAGAGTCAATTTTTAGGGGAGGGACAAAAATAAATGTGCTTTCCCTCCCTTTTACAGTAATATTTTAGTGGGTTTTGGATGTGCCTTCAGAGCATCATTTAGCACAATATCAATTATTATAGAAAAAGAACAGCCATGGTTCCTTCCCAACCCTCCTACATTCCTGACCTTATTTTCCACAGAAATATTTTTCACTGGCTTAACTGTTGGTTCATGATTTCCTCTGTATTTCTCAAATTATTGTGTAATATTACAGTTTGTTGGCTGGAATAATATACTTCAATAAAACTAATTATACTGAGTCTTAAAGTAATTAAAACATGGGTAGGGGGAATCAAGGGTACATTGCAGTGTGACTAGTAAGGATTAAGGTATGTATCAGTAGGAGTATCCTACCCTGAGAAGTGTTACTGTGTTTGATTTGAAAGGAAACCACTACTTAATCAGTGGTTTTGACACTTCTGAAAAGAGAGTTAGTACAAGGGGATGATCTGCTGGAGTTTAGAAAAACACAGAGATATATGCGGAAATAAAAGACTTCAAGGAAAATATAGCAAAAAAAAAAAAAAACTTCTATATGGGGATCATTGGTAATTTTTATTTTCTCCTTGAAAATATACAGCACTGTCCAAAGAAAATAAATACTAAATTTGGCTGGTATAAATATCCTGGTCACCAGAAAAGATTACTCTCTTGTTTACTAGAGATGGTTCTCATGTTTTTTCTTTTTTTGAATGAAATGTTCCTCAGGACCCTTTGATCTTATGCTCACTAGGCAACCTTTTTTGACTGATTAATTTAGCTTTCTACAATCTTCTTTTATAGAGTATGTTTTGTAGCATGTATAAATATTTTGATCACTAGATGAGTATTTCTCAATTATAAATGAATGCATGTGACCTTTAGTGGATGTTCAACTGTATACACCAATAAAATTGAGTTTCTAGGTCTATGAAGCAGAGATCCAGACCCTGAGCCCTCATGTTCTTATGAGGGGCCTACTACCTTAAGGACCTCTCTGAGTGACATCTGCCTCCTCTTTAAAAATCTGACTTTTTGGGGGCTGGGTTTGTGAGTCAGAGATAGAGCACTTGCTTAGCACATGTGAGGTACTGGATTCGATCCTCAGCACCACATAAAAAAATAAAGTTACTATATCCATATACAACTAAAATTATTTAAAAAAATAAATAAAAAATAAAAATCGGACTTTTTGTGACTGGGTACATGGTTCCTGCCTGGAGTTCCAGCTACTGGAGAGGCTACACACTTGAGTCCAGAAGTTATAGGTCAACCTGGGCAACCTAGAGAAACCCATCTCTTGGAGGAAAAAAAAAAAAAGTAGACATCTGATTTTCCCTTCAAGAGAAAGAGCACACATTAAAACAGTATCAAAAAAACATAACACGTATTTGGTATTTCTTTGAAAAAATTTTTAAATGAATCAGTAGAGGAATAAATGCAGGAGTTCTGAGGTTTAGTTAGTGAATTCTGAGTTTTTTGTTGTTGTTGTTGGTACCAGTGATTGAACTGAATCATGGAGCCACATCCACAGCCCTGTTTTGTATTTATTTAGAGACTGAGTGTCACTGAAAGTTGCTTAGCGCTTTGCTTTTTGCTGAGGCTGGCCAGCCGCTTGGATTACAGGTATGCCATCACCTAGCCCAGCTCTGAGATTTTTTTCTAGCCGCAGAAGTCTGTTTCAGATTCCATTCAGCAACTCCCTACTTCAAGTGTTATGTGAAGGAAATCAATAGGAAGAAGTAGATTTTAAATTATTATCTAAAGTAGTTTTTTGTCTGTTTTTTTTTTTTTTTTTTGGAGTACTGGTGATTTAACCCAGGGTCTTACACATATTAGACAAGCACCATACCACTGAATTACATCCCTGTCCCTTTGAAACAAGATCTCACTAAGTTGTCTAGGCTGTCCTTGAATTACCCATCCTTGTGCCTCAGCCTCTCAAGTAACTGGGATTATAGGTATGTGTGACTGTATCAGCTAAGTGCTGATAAATTTATTTACTCAGAGATGAGAGAATCTAGAGCTTGTAATTTTCTAAGGAAAATTTACTACCTGAATTCAAAGTTTAAATCTAGATAATTTTCTTTCTGAGGATTTAACTCAGGGACACTTTACCAGTAAGCTATATCCCCAGTCCATTTATTTGTTTATTTATTTATTTTATTATTTGTTTTTAGTTGTAGATGAACACAGTACCTTTATTTTATTTATTTTATGTGGTGCTGAAGATTGAACCCAGTGCCTCACACATGCTAGGCAAGTGTGCTACCACTGATCTACAACCACAGCCCCCCTAGTCCTTTTATTTTACATTTTGCAATAGATTCTCATTAACTTGCTGGTGATCTCTCTAAATTGCTAAGGCTGGTCTTGAATTTGTGATCTTCTTGCCTCAGCCTCCCAAGCTGTTGGGATTACAGATGTGTTCCACTATGCCCTGCTATAGATCATTTTCATCACTTCTGGGCCTTTTGGCTAAGATTAAGTGCAAATCTAGCTTATTTTCTATTTTGATGCCTTGGTGATTAATAAATATAATAAATATAATTTCAGCTCAATTGTAAATGATAAATAATTAACTCCCCTAGAAAAGGCTGGTAGTTTTAATTTGTATCTTTCATTGGTAAAGTAACCAGAAATCTTTGTGACTAATAAGTTCTTAATGTTTCAATTAATGTAGATTACAAGAGGAGTCATGTCAGAAGAAACAGTAAGGGAATCACAGTTTTCCTTGAAGACAGCAGCATTAAGAGTGTTTGATCTTCCTCTGTCTTGGTACAATTCTCTTTCTCAGGTAAACAAAAGAAATAAATACATAGATGAATGATAAGTTTATTGCTCAGAGCATATTTTGTTTCCAGTATTTCAGTTTCAGTTGGAAATTTTACTTTTTGATACTGTGAATCAAACATAGGGCCTCACACATGCCAAGTAGGCATTCTACCCCTAAGCTACATCCTCCAACCCCTGAGATTTTTATATGGTATTTTTCAGAATGTTTATTAATATAAAACCTACTTGATTTGTATTATTTCCTGTTTTGTTTTTGGTTTTATTTAGTTACTAAAAAATGCATAACTTAAAATTGTTTTTTCTATCTTAAGTGAATTTATGCAGTCTATTTCTATTATTTTCAAAAGACTTATTCTCACCATTAGAGTCCTTTTAATTGTATTGTAGTAAAAAGACATATAATATAAAATTTGCCATTTTGACCATTTTTAAGTATACAGTTCAGTAGCATTAAGAATGGTCATGCTGTGCAACCAATTTCCAGAACTTTTTCATCTTGTAAAACTCAAAACTATAATTATTTGTCAACACTTACCCATACCTCTTGATGCTCTTGACAGCCAGTAGTCATGTTATGTCTTCATTTTCATTTGCCTTAAGTATTTTGTAATTTCCCTTGTGATTTCTTCTTTGATCCATTGGTTGTTTGAGCGTGAGTTTAATTTACACAATTAGGAAAGTTTTCAGTTTTACCTCTTATTGATTTCACTTCATCCTGTTGTGGTTAGAAAAGATAATTTTGTATGATGGATGTCGTTTTAAATCTATTAAGACTTAATTTGTGGTCTAATATCTGGGCTACATGGGAAAATGTTGCACATGCATGTGAGAAGCATATATATATATATATTGATGTTGTTGAATAGAGTGCTCTTTATGTTAGAGCTAAGGGGTTTATTTACTGTGATAAATTTTTTATTACTCCTTCTTTTTTTTTTCTTTAACACAATGCCTTTATTTTTTTTTTTTTTTATTTTGTTGTTTGGATCGAACCCGGGTCCCTCCCATTCTAAGGCGAGCGCTCAACCGCTGAGCCACAATCCCAGCCCTACCCTTTCTTTTTTTTTAATTTTTTTTTTTTTTTTGTAGTTGTAGATGGGCAGAATGCTTTTATTTTATTTATTTTTATGTGGTGCTAAGGATAGAACCCAGTGCCTCACACATACTAGACAAGTGCTCTACCACCGAGCTACAGCCTCAGACCCCCAGTAGAGTGTATTTTGACATATTATATATACATGAAGTATAACTTACTCTAATTGGGATCCCATTCTTGTGCTTGTACATGATGTGGAGTTTCACATCATGTAGGAAAGTTATGTTCAATTCATTCCACTCTTTCCTATTCCTATTCCCCTTCCTTTCCCTTTATTCCTCTTGTCTAATCCACTGAACTTCTGTTCCCCATCTTCTTCTTATGTGTTGGCATCCACATATTTATATGGGTTTGTCTCTGTCTTCTATTCTGTTCCGTTGGTCTTCATGTCTGTTTTGGTGCTAATGCTATGCTGTTTTTGTTATTGTAGCTCTGTAGTATAATTTAATGCCTGGTATTATGAAGCTTCCCGCTTCACTTTCCTTGCAAAGGATTGCTTTGGCTATTCTGGGCCTCTTATTTTTTCTAAATGAATTTCATGACTGCTTTTTTCTATTTCTGTGAAGAACATTATCAGAACCTTAATAGGAATTGCATTAAATCTGTATAGTGCTTTTGGTAGTATATCCATTATGATAATATTAGTTCTGTCTATCTGAGAACATGGAAGATCTTTCATCTTCTAAGATCTTCTTCAATTTCTTTCTTTAATGTTCTGTAGTTTTCAATATAGTTTTCACCTCTTTTGTTAGATTGATCACCAGATATTTTCTTTATTTTTTGAGCTTATTGTGAATGGGATAGTTTTCCAAATTTCTCTTTCAGCTGATTCATCATTGGTGTATAAGAACACAATTGATTTATGGGTGTTCATTTTATATTATGCTACTTTGCTGAATTCATTTATGAGTTCTAGAAGTTTTCTGAAGGAATTTTTGGATCTTCTAAATATAGGATCATGTCTTTGGCAAATAGGGATAGTTTGAGCTCTTCTATTCCTATTTGTATTCCTTTAATTTCTTTCTTGGGCCTAATTGCTCTGGCTAGAGTTTCAAGGACTATGTTGAATAGAAATGGGAAAAGAGGGCATCCCTGTCTTGTTCCAGTTTTTAGAAGGACTGCTTTCAATCCTTTTAGAGTGATGTTGGCCTTGGGTTTAATGTATATAGCTTTTACAATGTTGAGGTATGTTTCTATTATCCCTAGTTCTTCTAGTGTTTTGAACATGAATGGACACTGTCTTTTGTCAAATGCTTTTTCTGCATCTATTGAGATAATCATGTGATTCTTGTCTTTAAATGTAATGATGTGGTAAATTACGTTTATTGATTTCCATAAGTTGAACCAACCTTGTGTCCCTGGGATGAACCCCACTTGATCATAGTGCATTGTCTTTTTAATATGTTATTATATGTGATTTGCCAGTATTTTATTAAGAATCTTTGTATCTATCTTCATCAGGCATATTGGTCTGAAGTTTTCTTTCTTTTAATGTGTCTTTGTCTGGTTTTGGTATCAGGATTATACTAGCTTCATAGGCTGAGTTTGGGTTTCCTTCTTTTCTCTTCTATTTCATGAAATAATTTGAGAAGGACTGGTGTTAGTTCTTCATTGAAGGTCTGGTGGAACTCAGCTGAGAGTCCTGGGCTTTTCCTTTTTGGTAGGCTTTTGATGGTGTCTTCAGTTTCATTGCTTGAAATTGATCTGTTTCAATCTTTGGTTACTATTTCCATGGGATAGTTTTCCTTTCACTCACTTTGGATATTGAGACCCCCTGAAATGGGGTCTCAATACATTGCCCAGGCTGGTCTCTTAACTCCTGGGCTCAAGTGATCCTCATGCCTTAGCCTCCTGAATAGCTGGGACTACAGGTGCACACCAGCAAGCCTGGCTAAAAACAAAAGTTGTACATATTAAAAGTTGTACATATTAATCGGGTATCTTAATGTTTTGATGGCATGTATACACTGTATAATATTTAAGTCAGGTTAAACCTCTTTCCTCAAACTTTTATCATTTCTTAATGGTGAAAACATACAAAATCTTTCCATCTTGCTTGTTTTTTTTTTTTTTCTTTTGTACTAGGGATTGAATCCAGTGGTGCTTAACCACTGAGCCACATCCCCAGCCCTTTTTATTTTGAAATAGTCATTAGCATGCTTAGGAACTTGCTAATTCGCTGAAGTGGCTTTCGACTTGTGATCCTTTTTTTCTTAGCTTCCTGAGTTGCTGGGATTATACATGTGTGCCATCATGCCTGGCCTTTCTTGCTTTTTGAAACATGTAATTGTTGCCTGTGGTCACTCTACAATAGCACACCAGAACTTCTTACTCTTATCTAACTACAACTTATTACTCATTGATCAATCTTTCTCCTTCCCTTCCTTTTTCTCTTCTCTTCCCAGCCTCTGGTAACCACTGTTCTACTTTCAACTACTAAGCGATCATCTTTTTTTAGATTCCACATATACAATCTTTCTGTGCCTAGTGTTTCACTTAATATAATGATGCCCAGTTTCACCCATGTTATTATTATATGAAATGATAGGATTTTGTTCTTTTTAATGGATTAGTAATATTCCATTGTGTACCACATTTTCTATAACCATTTATCAGTTGATAAGACACTTAGGTTGTTTTCATTTCATGACTGTTGTGAATTATACTGTAGTAAATATGGGAGTACAGTTGTCTCTTCAACATATGATTTATTTCCTTCAGATATGTACCTAATAGTGGGATTGCTAGATCATATTGTAGTTATGTTTTTAATTTTTTTTAAGAGAGAGAGAGAGAGACAATTTTTTTTTTAAATTTTAATATTTTATTTTTTAGTTATTGGCTGACACAACATCTTTGTTTGTATGTGGTGCTGAGGATCGAACCCGGGCCGCACGCATGCCAGGCGAGCGCGCTACCACTTGAGCCACATCCCAGCCCGAGAGAATTTTTTTAATATTTATTTTTTAATTTTTGGCAGACACAACATCTTTATCTTTATGTGGTGCTGAGGATTGAACCCATGCCCCGCACGTGCCAGGCAAGCAGGCTACCGCTTGAGCCACATCCCCAGCCCCTGTTTTTAATTTTTTTGAGGAAACTCCATACTGATTTCCATAATTGCTGTACCAGTTTACATTTCCACCAACAGAGTGCAAAAAGTGTTCCTTTTTCACTACCCCCTTGCTAGCATTTGTTATCTTTTGTGTTTTTGAAGATGTTCTTTTGGGCTGGGGATGTGGCTCAAGTGATAGCGCACTCGCCTGGCATGCGCGGGGCGCTGGGTTGGATCCTCAACACCACATAAAAATAAAAAATAAAGATATTGTGTCCACCTAGGGCTGGAGTTGTGGCTCAGTGGTAGAGTGCTCATCTAGCATGCGCAAGGCCCTAGGTTCGATCCTCAGCACCACATAAAAATAAATAAATAAAATAAAAAATATTTTTTAAAAAAGATATTGTATCCACCTAAAACTAAAAAAATAAATATTTTTTTAAAAAAAGAAAATGTTCTCTTTTTTTGGAACTGGGAATTGAACCTGGACCTTCTAGTTCTACCTTTGAGCTGCATCCCCAGCCATTTTTAATTTTTTTATTTTAAGACAGGGTCCAAGTTACCAGGGCTGATTTCAAACTTGCAGTCTTCTTGCCTTCAGCCTCCATTAGTTGCTAAGATTACAGGGATCTTAATTGCACCTGCTGACAATAGCCATTTTTACTGGAGTGAGGTGATAGCTTACTGTAGTTTTTTTTTGTTTGTTTGTTTGCTTGCTTATTTTTTTATGCTGGAGATTGAATACAGGGCTTCACGTAGTAGACAAATGCTCTACCACTGCACTATACCCCAAGTCTCTCATTGTGATTTTGATTTGCATTTCGTAGATGATTCCTAGTGTTATTTCTTT